GCCTTGAGGAACTCCGGGCGGATCTCATCCACCCCCGGGGCCCTGCCACCGAGGAGGTTTTTGACCACCTCAGTGACCTTTGATGATTGACTCTTTTAAATGAAACCAGAGAGCGTTGACAGAGAGGAGAAGGTAGAAATGACTCAGCCTGTAACTGAAAATATAGATGGAGGACAACAGAGCTGCTTCATGGAAGAAGAACCTCAGCTTAGCCTGTTAGCTTTAGCGCTAGCGCCGACATCATCATTAATCCAGAATGCTTTGCATGTAAATAAAATGGCCCCGTCCGTGTTAAAATATATTTTTAACTTTTTGTTTAAATATGATAAAAACTGAACATCCTACAGTCCAAGATTAACCTTCAGGGTGGATATAGCTCGCTAGCAGCCTCGCACCGATGACCTATCCACGTCATCATTTACCCACAATGCTTTGCATGTAAATAAAATGGCCCCGTCCATGTTAAAATATATTTTAAACTTTTTGTTTAAATATGATAAAAACTGAACATCCTACAGTATTTTTACAGTCTTTATTTTACAGTTAAAATATATGTTTATTTAATAAAGTCTTATGTTACAACTAATCATGGATCCCTTTTGAAGACTGATTAATTGGTATGCTTGTTTGTCTTTGTGTCTATGGTGTAATAATAATGATGTGATTGTGATGCTGTAATTCTGAGTGTTTTATGTGCTGCAGAACAGGAACCTGCTGTAAAACATCAATTATGCTGAGTCAGGCTTGATTTTTAATAATCTTTTCCTGTTAAATAAATGAATCAAATCAAATCATTGCAGAGCAAACATTTTTTGTAAGGGTGGTTGTTAATCCATGTTCTCATTGTTTGATGTGTTTTGTTGTTGTTTTCTTTAGCCTGGAGTCTCTGGAGGTCCACAGTTCGTTTGCCTGGGTGGGTCAGAGCCAGTACAAGCTGCAGCTGGGCCAGCAGGAGGTGGTGAGCCTCGCTCTGAAAGCCTGCTTTTTCCGAGCAGGAGTCTACAACCTGAACACACCACGGGTCTTCGCCAAGCCCGCCGAGCAGAGCTCCATCTCTGAGACGAGTCAGCAAACATCGAGTCCCGCCCTCATCATCATCAAGAGCACCTGACAGAACCGGGCCGGGCCGGGCCGCAGGAACAGAAATACTACATTTATTTAAAGCATTCCTTCAAACAGAGACTAATGAGCTGATGGAACAGGCGTAGAACTTCATTTCACTAGCCGTATTTATTTGATTTAACTTTTTACTGGGTGCTTCCCTCTATACGCTCTGTCTGTGTGATGATCAACTCTAACTGATGCTTTTCTTCGTTTCCTTACTAAATCTGCCGTGTTGGACTCAGAGGTTCACTTTAAACTGAAAGGACAGAAACAAACTGCTGCTTTTTATTTTTGTTAGATCTGGACCGGTCCTCTTCCACAAACAGATGCTGTCTTAAAGTGAATCAAATCAAATTGTGATGATATTAAAGTCTTATTGTAACATGATAATGTTTATATAGTGGAGCTTGTGTCAAACAAACTGAAGACTGACTCAAACTCCTCGTGTTGAAGGATTTATTCTTTACTTTCTGCTGCTGTGCAAAGGGAATCCTTTGATTCTTGTTTATAAAAACATCTTCACAGTTTTTGTTCTTTTTTTTCTTTTTCTTTTCTGAGAACAAAAACAGAATGAGGTCTGTGATGATTCAAAGCTTGGACCAGGACCAGGTTGTGACCTGGTTTAACCCATTAAAACCTGCAGCGTAAGAATTTCTATCAGACTCAGTGCTGATGCAAATAATGACCCAAGCCATCCTTCATCGCCTCCTCTGCCAGGACACTGTAAACCTTATCAGTAGTAGACAAGCTGGAAAAGAAGCAAAGCGTGACTCACAAGGAGATCAGGGGAGCAGATTATTTATCATTTATGGTGCACAACTCCTAAATTTGATCAACTCACCGATTTAGTGGTCCTCTATGAGTTGTTTTTGATTGCAGTTCTGAAGGATAATAGGTCAAAAACATAACACACTTTAGCAATACTAACAATGATAGAAGGAATGCCAAAACAACTAAAACCAGAACTTACTTTCATTCTCAAACAAGCTGTCACAGAAATCATCATCATCTGCAAAAATATAAATTCAGCAGGAGATTGATCATCTTATTACAGCCATGATGTATTTAAGTACTTAGAGTTAGCCTCTTCTAGACACTACGTGTGTCTAGTGTGTACTATGTACTAAATAAAAAAAAACTGCAATATATTACTTTGAACACAACAGAGATTTATGATTTACTATCAATATACACTGTACACTGGCACGAACAGTTGATGTAAAGATAGAAACTGATTTCATTTATAATGGTTAATATTTGGACATTAAAAACCTTTAACAAACAAATAAAGCTAGTTTTCAAAAGTACTCTCTGACCCAAGCCCTCTTGTCGTTTAACTTCAAAATCTGTCATAATATTTTTTACTTTAACCTGAACCAAACATCCAACATGAAATAACTGCATCACTACAGGAACTTACTCTTAGAGACTTTCGAGTTCGGCTTCGTAGGCTGAGGAAAACAGCGAAAATCAAAATGCAACGTCATAAAATGAATAATGTTCTCAAACAAATGCTTTAAACGTGTTATGAATGTTTTAACTCTAAAATGTCACTGAGAATATGTTTGCTGTGGGAAGTTTTACTCACCATGTCGAATCTTTTAGTTCGGAAAGCTTTGAGGGAAGCTAATAAGGTAACGTTAGCTAAATCTCTTTAGGCGTCTCATGTCTCCATTGGTAACAGCACCCTTATGCTAGTTATATCTTGTATTAAAGTTCAGTAAACAGGACAGATGTGTTTCTGTCATGGGACTCCTTTCACTTACGGGGGAGGGAGTACGCCAGTCACAGAATAGGAAGTCCAGTAGTTTTGTTTATTTCATTTTTTTTATTCACTATACCTGCCACATCTATGCTACTTGCAGAGGGGGTTATGTATCACAATGACGTCATTATGCAGAGAAATACTTTAAAAGTACTTAAAAGTTACGAGCCAGGGGTCGGATTTATAAAACTGGCGTACGCACAATTTGAGCCCAGAAACTTGCGTACGCCACTTTTCACTCCAAGGTTGTGATTTATAAAATCCAAACTTGACGTGAAAATGTGTGGTGCCTCACGCCAGCTCTGACCCATGCGTACGCTCATTTTGGAGACGGAAAGCTGCAACTTTAGCGACACAGATGGTGAAGTGAGGAATTATAGCCACACTGCATCATGATCACTGTCAGATATTGAATTTCACTTCATAATCAAACTTCGATTTTTATTCATCTTTATCATCAGCTTTCTTA